AAAAAAAAAAAAAAAAGGCTCATCAACTCCCGCGACAACATGAAATTCCCCCTTTAGACCTATTTGATACACCTGGAAATGAGACTATCCTTGAATAATAGCACTTAATTGAAAGTTTTTTCACACTGTAATCCAAAGTGGCCATTCTCTTACTTACACATTCATTCAAACATTTCACATTAGGTGCTTTGCAATGTGCCAAGGATATAACAGTACTAGATGTCTAGTCTCTGCTCCTGGATGAGCAACATGTAAGCTGATACACTACAACTTAATGTGCTGTGTTTTACAACGTAAACAGTATCTATGAGCATGCACATGGAACTAACTTCCTGAAGGACTAAGAAAGGCTCGCAGAGCAGCCTGTGAAGCCTCAAGTCACTGGCACAGAGATCAGGAGTCTCTAATACAGATACTGTTGGAATGAGCTGCACCAATTATTTTGTACCAAGCAAGCAAAGCAGTTGTGTGTTAAAGAAAACTCCAAGAATATTACTACTTAAGGATCACTTTAAAATTAAATTTTCATGAGCAAGAATACAAGATTATAAAAATGAGTTATTTCTTTAAGTAAGCAGACCAATCCTGAAGATAACAAAGCTTACATGCCACCTGGGCTGGTGTTCTGAATAAGTCAACATCGAAATAAATGAAGGGGAGGATGTGTTGACTAAGATATAAAAAATTTAAGAGGTACAAGGACTAAACACAACATAAGCACCATACTGGATCCAGATCAGAACTGCCGGTAAATAAAGGCTTTTTAGGGACAAAAAAATTAGACAATGTTAAACTGCTATCTACGCTATTACATGTGGTAATATGACTGCATAGCTGAGCTTTTTATGTATACTTTACTTTTGTACCACTTACTTCAAATTACTCAAAAAAAATTTAATGCCATTATGGCAAGATAAAAAATCATTCAACAGTAGCTGGCATATGGATGTCACTACAATTCTCCCTAGTTTTTCATGTGCTAGAAGAATTTTATACTAAAAAGTTCAAAGAAAAGAAGATGTAGTATGCAGAGCCCTGTGGCAAAAGGGGCTTCTGGAGTCTCACAAGGAACACAAGTCACAGGGCTAAGATGCTGGGCTGCTGCAGACAGCATCAACAGAAAGTCAGAAAGCACGAGCAACAGTGGAAACAGAGAGTCCTACACTGACATAGGCACTAAGGGGAGAGAAAGGGCACTTGTGTGGCCAGAGCAGTGCTCCCTGGGCTTCTCCGATCCATCTCCTCAGGTAAACTTGTGCTCTATGGAACAGCTAACAAAAGTAAAAAACTCACTCGCAGGAAAATTATACCTCAAAATCAGCTTACCTTTCACAAGGGGAGAAGTCAATAAGTTGAACCCCTTGGTGGCTGAATCTCTGAATTTGTTTGAACTTCTCTCCGCCCCAAAGAGCAATGCCTCGTTGATGAAAGGTAGCCAGGTAGGTGCCCTTGGGAGACCAACGCACATATGTCTCCGTCCATCTCTGTGGGGAAAAAACAAGTCAAGCGCCGACACTGTTAACACAACTACAAAGAAATCAAGGCAAATACGTCCTTTTCTCTATAAGGAATTCACTCCTCATGCTCTTAATTGAAAAACACAAAAAACCTATTTACACAACTAATTTCAAAACTGGAAGAAAGTTCTCAGATGTAATCAAGAACATGTTGCTCCACCTCCTCCTCCACCCCAGACCCCGGTGTCAAGGACAAAGAAGTGAATCTCAACATGCAGCAGACACCCACCGCTCTCTCTTCAATTGAAACAGGATCTTTCACATCATTCCAGAATATGGACGTGCGGTCCCCACTCTCAAAAATCACACTGTACTGATCTCTGCATTCTGCCTCTTCAAGCCAGTAACGCAAATTTCCCTAGAAAAAGAACCAAAGGCAAGAAAGAGAAGACATTTCATTAATTTTAACCAGAGAAAACTTAAGTCCTAATTATTGCTTACAGATAATATCAAATTCATTTGGCACCTCTAACTCCTGAAGGATTGTTCACCTCCAGCCAAAAGGCTACCCAGCGTTTCTAATTACTTGGTACAGACTTCACACAACATACCAAATCTTTGAAAGGCTGTTTCTCGGGAATATCCCACTCATCACTGATCGTCATATACCTGGAAGAGACAAAGAACGTGCTTACTGGCACACTGTTGTAGTGGTCAGTGAACAGACACTAACTACACTGCAATTCCAACCACAGGCAGTGCTGTGCTCTACCTAACCTCCCCCAGAGGGGACTAAAGACAAAGGATAAATGGAAGGGTACACTGTTAGAGAGGGGTGCCATAGCTGAAAGCATGAGGGAACAGTGACAATGAATGGTCCTACAGTCTAGGTGAAAGGCCACACATCACACCTTACCCCACAAACACTGAGCCTTTCATATGCATGTGATTCTCCTGGTTATCAATGTACAAGTCTGAACTCACTTGTCAAAGTCAGTGAAAAGGTTGACCCGGAATGTGTGCTGCTTGTCAAGCTTGTAACCATCAGCGTTCTTCACTGCATCCAAGGCATGGGCAGGAGATGCATATTCCAGGAAGATGTACCTGAAGTGGGAGAATGGTTTGTACAAGTGCAGATTTAAGAATCGAGCAGGTCATGCTCAAAACACTCAGCCCTGTCTACTCAAGCTGTCAACACTGAAAGCTTCTGAAACCCATCTTAATGCCATGTATACTTCAACGCACTCAATTATCAGCAAAGCAGTTCTCTAAACAAGAATGAAATCCTTTTTTTTTTTTAAAGATTTATTTACTTATGCATACAAAATTGGAGTAGAGCCCAGAGGTGCAGAGGCAGTGAGAGGATTCACCAGAGACAGAGTGGGGAGCAGAACACGCCGACTGATGAAGTATACTGCTGAGGGGAGCAGCAGGTGGGTCTGCCATGCCATGTGGATCACGTCCAGGGCTGAAGTGGCTTTAATTTCTTAGTGCTGTTCTTAAACCCGCTGCGCCACCAGGGAGGGTCAAAAATGAAATCCTTAATGGAAGAGCCAAACTCTCTTAACTTCAGAATCATGAACTACAGAAAAACTCATTATTCAAAAAGCTCACTCTATCTTGATTGTGTTAATGGCTTTATGGCCATATCTGTCAAAACTTACAAAACTGTTAACATTTAAAATTTTCACACAGAGCTGTTTTAAAGCACATTTAATCTAACATTATCTGTTACAGACAAAAACTGCTAAAGGCTGTCAGAGGATGTTTCATTGACTAGCAACTGCTAGTCAAAAGAGGCCATCTCTCCACTTATTTCCAGAAACAGAATATATCAGAAGCATTACATGTACTTGGTAATTGTTTTATAAGCTGCTAGTTAGTATAGGTAGTTTCCAAAAATCTGTTTTAGGGCCTCCCTGGTGGCTCCACAGGTTAAGATGCAGCACTGCAAGCTGGTCGCAGCCACTTCAGTGCAAGTTTGATTCCTGGGCTCCGGAGGTGATCCACATGGTGCTGCAGACCTCTCCTGGCCCACCCGCCGCTCCCCTCAACAGTGATTTCAGTGGATCTGCCTGTTCTGCTCCCCACTCTGTCCCTGATGAATCTGCTCACCACCCCTGCACCTCTGGCCTGGACCCCAGTTCTGTATGCATATGTAAATAAATCTTTTTCAAAAATTCATTTTTATTCATTTGTTTATAAAAAGACAATTTTGTTTATACTTTTTAAAAAAAAGATTTTTATTTACTTAAGCATATAACAACTGGGGTATAGGCCAAAGGGGCAGAGGCACTGGAGGAGGGATGAGAGGATTCACCAGAGACAGAGTGGGGAGAACTGGCAGATGTACTGAAATACACTGCTGGGAGAGTAATGGGCGAGACAGGAGAGATCTACTGAGCCATGTGGGTCAGCTCCCTGGCCAGGGATTGAACTCATGCAGCAATGGCTGGTGACAGCTTGATAGTGCTGAGACTTTTAACCCCTGCCATCACCAGGGATGCCCTTGCTTGTACTCTTAAAGGATGCTACATACAAGAAACTTCAATCGATAAAGTTAGGCAAGATCTTAGAGCAACAGAAGGTTGCCATACTTCTGTTTAGAGTGTAAACCAGCAAGCAGTTCGGAGAGCACAACCTGACATTGTCTAGTGACAATGACAGGCATTTCACAGAACTCCACAATTCCACTCCCAGGTATGTACAATAAAGAATTTCTACCACTAGCTCAAAAGTGAATAAGTACTAGATTGTTTATAATTGCAAAGTACTAAGTATTATTAGATGGGCAGACAGCTAAAGCTGTTGTATATAATAGCACAGCACTGAAAATAAAGGAATTACACATACCTTTATGTTACTATTTTTAAAAGATGCATTAACTTAGGTAATAACTAGAAAAGGTGCTTTCACCTAGACCATTTCCATGTGAACGCATGAGAAAATAAATCCATCTTAGAGTAAATGAAAAGTCTATGTAAAATTTTCCTAAATTCTGCTAGTTTTCAGGTACGTAGATCCCTCTCCTCAGGATTTATCTTGTGTCGATTACTGTTCTGACAGCAAAAGATTTAAATATCCAATTCTGATTTCTTTATAATTTAGTAGCCAACTGATACCTTACTATAACAACCAAACTAGGATTTCCTTCTCCCTGTCTGATAACCCCAAGAACAAATCACACTGCTCCATAGAGCTGTGAGCTAAGGGAGGCCTGAATAACGTCTGAGGCCAATGGCTACATCAAGGTGTGTGCTGTGTCACTGTGAGCTGTGGCTACGGAACCATCACTAAGGATGTTACACCCCAAGGAAAAGGCCAATGACACTTCAATGATGGAGAGAATCACTTACCCTTTTGTCTTCCCATCTTCCTCTGGATAAAAGTCATTTGTGATTTTCCCAAACTTAGAAAATATCTTATGAATGACATTTTTTAGTTTCTCCAAACGGTCAGGCCCCACTTGAGGAACATTGTCCACCACGATCACTGAATCGATTCCATCTGCTTCCTGTGGCCGATCTTTCAGTACATCTCCAAGTAGTTCTGTATGAATGACAGATGTGTCAAATCACTTCTGACCGGGCAAACATTAAAACATTACCTAAACAAATTTGCAAGAAACAAAAATAATCTAAATGCTTTCACTGTGAACAAATCAGTCCAAGCTTGACTCAAAATGTAAACAAGATAAAGATTTTATCTCTTCATGTTGCTTTTGACAGTCAAGATAACTGAAAATGGAAGATCTTAAGTGAATCTTTTAAAGACTAATCATGCAGCTGAAAACAAAAAAAAAAATGGCCTATCACCAGGATTCAGAACAAAATTGACTTGGGTTGGGGAGGCACTTTCTTCTTCTGAAACAAAACAAACTCATGATTCAAATATCCTTCATGTAAAACAGTCTTGTGTAAAGAAAATCTGGGACTGAGACTGGCATTAAATGAATTTAGAGAATATACAAGCTCATGAGAGCATGAAAATATAATGGTATAACTCATGGCGCCAAGTCAATGAAATGCCTCAAAGTTGCTTGGAGACATCATTTATGATAATAAATTTGTAACTGCTTAGGACAGTGCTTCAAACAGTCAGAAGTATACATTTTTACTTTCATTAACTACAAAATTCAAACAGTGATGTCACTTGCTATTAAGACCACAGACCCTAAATTTTAAGTGCTCAAGCTTCTTAGAATTCCTTCATTTCCATCAAACAGCCAGCTAACATAAGAAAAATTAAGTAAAAGAAATAAATGCCTGCTCAGCTGTTTGAGATAAACATTTGGGGTCAAATGGGTAACCAGATGAAAGGGGAAAAAATCTTACCTTTAAAAAAAAAATGATTTATATATTTAAGACTGGGGTACAGGGCAGAGCTGCAAGGACTCAATAGAGACAGAGTAGGGAGCAGAATAGGCGATCCACGGAAATACACTGTTGAGGGGAGCAGTGGGTGCCATGAGGGATGGAACTCATGGTGCAGTGGCTGCAGATAGCTTCATCCTGCTTTGCTTTAACCCCTTGCATCACCAGGGAGGGAACCAAATCTTACCTTTTTAATATAATCTCTATACAAACCCAATTAGTTAGGTTTGTGCAGATTCTATAAATTAAAGGCAATGGATTACAAGCTATACTGAAAAGACCTTTAAAACTATCATCAAAGCACTGGTTATATGAAACCACACCCATACAAAGTTAAGAGTATAAAGTTATTTTCAAACAGATAACTAAAGAATAGCATGTTACTCTTGTATTTGTCCCAAAATCTATTTATCACTCCTGGTACTGTATTCTTAAGAATTTCAATATGCTAAGTAGCAACACATCAGAAAATATTCTCAGGTGTGTTTCATTCTCAAAAGTTAAGGTGAATTCTCCACTTTTGTGTTTGAAATTTTCCATAATAGAAAATTTAAAAGGTAATAAGGTCTCTCAAAAAATAAAATTTCAAGAGACAGCTGTGTCACAAATTGTCAGCAATACATTTGTGAACATTAAAGATGCTTCCTTGAAAAAAGAATTGTCGGCCCACCCTGGTGGCGTAGTGGGTTGGAGCACTCCACTGGGAAGCTAAGCTAAACCATGGCCACTTCAGTACAAGTTCAATCCCTGCCCCAGAGGTGGTCCACAAGGTGCAGCAGTGTATTTCTTCCATCTGCCTGTTCTGCTCCCCACTCTGTCTCTGGCAAATCCTCTTGGAGCCCCCATACCTCTGGCATGTACCCCATTTCTGCATGCAGAAAGTCTTTAAAAAAAAAAAAAAAGAATTGTCACTTAAGTGTTAAAAAAGCTTAAATTAAGACCAGCAAAGAGAAAATAAGGGAAAGATTAAACAAAGTGAGAGGCCTTCCCTATAAAGACTGGAGGCATAAATCCTTGAGTGCTTTTAATGATCACTTACTATACAATTAAGCAGCCTGTTAAGCCAGCTCTGAAGTTACAAGATTTATAATAAAAAGTTCAGCTTTTACACAAACCTTGGACTCCTTCCCACAATCTCATAAGTGTCTAGTTTCTAACAATCTGCCCATATGCAATAAAGGAGTACATGTAGTAAATACACAAGGAAGAAACACATTTCATTCATCACTGTCAGATCATACTTGCCACTCCCAGACTCCCCATCTGGCTCCAGGAGAAAAAGCAATTCTCAAAACTGGACAGCAAATTAAAACAAAAATATTTATGACCTAAAAAAGTCATTCAGAGTTGTAACTTTTCTCACTGGTTGTTTAGCTAAACAGCACAGGCAGAGAGGATAATGATTAAGATACCACACTGATAATTTGCCCCTTGAAGAGGGCTCTTCCTGAACCTCAGTCCATTAGCAAAAGAACTGGTACAGTCTGCATCTTCTCTGACTTCCTAAAGGCAGTTCTTTTCATGGAACAGAACACGCTGGGGCTACTGACCACAACCAGGTGACTTCAAGAACACAGACTGCCTGTTGGGCTATAGTTCCACCAGACCAGGAGCCAAAATGGTCACTGTAATGGAAAAACATCAGGACCACAAGGGCTTCCCAAGGCACCTAACCCTGGAACCTGGCCTGTGTTCACTTTAGCACCCTGACACTCTCACACTCAATTCTGCATATAATTCATAATCTGGAAATCTGGTGTGAATTAGACGGATTCAAATGATGCTTTGAAAAAATATAAATTCGACAGCAGAGTTAAAACTCAAAAGGTTCAAAATGGGCTTTACTGGTTGATGCAGTAAAAAGAACAGAGTGCCTGGTGGGTCCAGGAACACTGCCTCCCAGTGAGGGAGTCAACCTACTCCAAAAAGGAACATATTTTCTCACAGAAAAAGGCTTTGACTAATTAGCAACCTCCAAGTCTTCACTAGCTTGTGAACTCTTTCCAGCCTTTCACACTAAAATGTCTATAAGTTATAATAAGACAATAATTTAAACTTGCATTTAAATTAAAAGCTGACTACACTGGTTCTGTTTTTTTCACCTGAAGATTCAGTCTCAACAGAATTCATACGTCTATAATCTTTCTTAATATCATTTCTTATTTTTTGGTGTAGCACTTGCTATTTTTAATAGCATTTTGTTCTCCCATCTTACTGTAACAGTGGACACAAAGCGAAAGCTGTTCCTGTGCACCCAGCTAGGTGATTCTGAACAGCTGACACAAAACAAGAACATACGGCAAGTCTTATAAGAGAGTCGTCCTAAGTCACTTTTGGAAACAGAACTTCTGACACACCTGTTAATCAAGAAGGAAAGGAAAGCAAATCAAGGTATAAACAACAGTCCTAAAACCTGAGAAACTTGCCAACAGAAGGACGGTCTCATAGGTTGGCCAGTGGGCTTGACACTGTCCTACTGAGAATTCTGTTGGCAGAAGCTTCTGTGGAGCACAGGCACCCAGCCCTGCACAACGAGTTGCCCACCCCCGCCCCAAAGTCCGGCATCCTCACCACCCCTTAACGAGTGGGCACCGAGTCCTTTCGTGGCCTCGGGACTGACCCATGTCTGAGGACACAAATCTGTCACCCCTGCACGTGTAGTGCCCCCGGGCTGTACCCTCGTGGCCTCGCCACTGTCCTAACGCGTGCCCATGCGTGTCCACCCTCCAAGTTACTGTTTCAGGAGCTGACAGCCTGCTCCCCAAGTTGTTCCCTCCCTGCCCCACTTTTGCAGAGTAAAGGAAAAGCGGAGGCGCCAAGCTTTCACTGGTACCACCCCTGCGTGCGGCAACCACGCGTGGAGGCTGGGGACCGCTGGCTTCCGAGGCGCACGGGAGCCACACGAGCGTTCAGAGTCCGGGACACTGGCGCAGAGGGCCCGCCGCGCCTCACCTTCCTCGCTCACGTCGTCCACAAAGTCCTCGGGGTCGCTGAAGGAAGGCTCATCCGCGTCGCCGTCTTCCCCACCCGCCCCCTCGGAACGGGCCTCGGCCGCCGCGTCCCGGGCCTGCTCCCCCGGGGCTTCTTCCGCGGCCGAGGCGAGGGCAGTGGGCTCCTCAGGCGGCGGCGAGGGAGAAGCGACGTCCGCACCAGCCGCGCTCTCCTCGCCCTCCGCCGTCTGCCCGTCTACCGGCACGTCCGGCCGGGGCTCGGCCTCCGCCGCGTCCTCGCC